ACATTCACAAAAAAAAACACGTTGATCTCGCCTATTTTCAATTAGATGATGATTTTCATTAGCCCAGTAAACATGATTGTGTCTGTTAATTATTTCATTTTTTTTGTGCTTTGTGTGATAATATAGTTCTTGTTTCCATAGCCTACTACACATTTTTTTTCTTCTTTTGAAGTTTTACGCCAACAAAAGGAGAAAAGCACACAAACAGTTATATCGTTAAATTCAGACAAAAATAAGGATTTTAAAAGGCCCACAGCCAACTATGATTACCATTTAAACAAACATAAAACGTAAATAAACAAACATAAAACGTTTATTTAAAAAGTTCTACCAAAGACAATTTTAACTTTTTTTCTAATTTAAGCAGTTTACGAATTATATGATAATTAAAAAAGTGTTGATTTCTTGCCCTTTCAGGATATTTCAGGAACCAAGTCGGGTACCTAAATTTTGAAARCGGTAATGAATAGGCAATCGAATTCTGCCCAATTTTYCCCATTTAACGGATTCTCTATCTTTAAAAATGTAGAAGTTACCCATACAAAGGGAAAAAAATCATGAAATGGCCACCCTGTATATGTATGTGTATRTGCACGAATTATTAGATACTAATTTTTCTGCCAAAAGTCTATTCTTCCCCACGATTGGAGTTGTTSGCTGGAAAAGCTGTTTTGTTTACGGCGATTATCAAAACCAGTTTARACCAAAAACGAGCCTTTGAAAATGTAGCCATATACAACTTTCAACAACATTGTAAACAACGAAAAAAACTGGAATCAAACTGCGAAGCAAAGGAATTAGTCATCCAGAGGGCGAACAAGCAAATTATTAGATCATCAGGTTGGTTCTGTCGTTCGGTGTGTGAAACCAGTGAAAACTTCCATGTCGCATGCATTTTTCTCCAAAAGCAGAGCAAATGTTCAGTTTCTTACGGGCCACGAATGAAATAAGTCGTAGATATTCTTGGTGGCTTTCGAGGATTTATAGACCGATTTGGTGCCGCTAAAGTGGGTGCTGTAGATCATCATGTCCATTAACTGAAGGATTTAGTGGAAGTTTTCTAATTCTTGGGAATCTTTAGGGTGTGTTCAAGTGTAGTGTAACCTTTTTGAGGATTTTATGATTAATGGGAAAACCACTAAATGGAGGGTCAGCTTTCAGAAAGCTGGTATGAATGATCCGATATATAAATCTCTTAGCTTCAACTGATTTTAGTTTTCCGAAAAGCAAAGTGTTATAGATTCTTTATATTTTTCTCTGTTCTTTGAATTCACTTCTTTTTCTTATGGCTGATTTCAAGTTAATTGGCTTTGGACAGACTTCCTGTTGTACTAAACACATTTTCTTCTTTCTTTCCAGGTGGCACCACGCAGATTTCGGTAAGTTTGGCATTACTTTGCCCCTGGTTGCCATGTAGATGAAGAACTTTTAATCCCGTATTATTCACTTGTATTATTTGATCATATTGCGGTATACCATATTTGTTCGACGAGGAACGACGAGGGAGAGTTGTAGATTCTGAAAATGGGTTTTTCAATTTCTTTTTATTAGATTTTTGTAAAATTGAGAGTTTTGAACGTTTGTAGTTAATTTCAACGGTCTGGATCTGGACATTATTTTATTTAGTAGAAGTAGATGGCAACCAGCGTTGTAGTTTTTCTTTCAAAGCATTTATGCTGCTCGCATGTGCAGGTTGGCGGATATTTTGGAGCRAATTYMTATTTCYCTTTTTGCGGATTTTKGAAAATGGTAGCGCATTTATTTTCGTATGCTTGGCCAATTGTCTGGTTTAATATTTTCACACTTTTTATTGTCGTCGTGTTTGCTTTATTATTGATGGTTTTTTTGCGATTACACACTTACACTGTGGATTTTTTCAAGCGAATCTCCCTGTCGCTTTTTGCGGATTTTATCTATGGGCTTTTGGAAAAAGGCATCGCATTATATTCTCGGTTTCCTAGGTAAATCGCTAAAATATTTTAGAAGTTTTTTGCAACTTTCTATCCTAATTTGATTCTATATTGTCTTTAAGTCTCAAAATTGAAGTGTTTGCTTGCAGCTTTGACCTATTCTCCTATAGTTTTTAATAGGCTAGCTCATATTCAAGATATTCAAGTAGAATTATCAGCTTATGTATGTACAGGGTGTCTGTACATACATACAGGTCCATGTAAGCACATGATCAAAAGGGTACTGCGATATTCTCTGAATCAAAAAAAGACGATCTGATCTAACTTTTATTTAAAAAAAATGTCTGGCACCTCTGCTGTTGATGGTCAAAGTTCTTCAAAAAAATTATCTTTTTTGAAATATCGGGAGAATGGTACGATGTATTTTGCTGAAACTCGCTGTAAATGTGTTCTTATGTGAGATTCATAGTTTGATGAAACAATCGAATTCAGCCGTTTTGGACAAGTGGTGAATTCTTAAATGTCGTGATACAAAAACTAGAAGAACTTTTTATTTGGTGGATGGAATCAACTCATTTTTTTTTGGTTGATGCACTAATCATTTGTTCACAATTTTGTGGTCTTTGTAAAATCTTGTAGCATTCATAGTTTTTGCCCAAAAAAAATATGTTTGTTTTCTAGTCACTTAACAATGCTAGACATTAACTGCAAATATGCGATGCGTAAACGCGTACAGTTTCACGCAAGTTGTCTTCGCAAAACCCTAATACTTTCACCATGGCAGTCACTTCTTCATTAGAAAAGGTAATTCAAAACAAATTTGTGAGATTGATTGACAATGATTTTATGACTCGTATCACGATATTTGCAGTTAATATCTAACATTGTTAAGTGGCAAGAAAACAGAAGTTTTCTTATAATTAAAACGCGTTATTTTTATAAACGAGAGGAAAAGGCCTAGAAGCTTGATTCGTCATTAGTAAGAGGAAAATTACAAATTGGCAATCAAAATTTAATTGAGAATGTTCATACGGCTGTTCTTTTCCACATTCTTTCATTTATTACGACGTATCAGAGTTAACGTCGTTTCATTTAATACGCCTATGCAGGTAGCAAGGCATGTAATAAATGAAAATATGTGTATTATTTTGTAAACCGTTAATAATGATTCATAGTAATATTACTTTATGTGCAAGCTTATATTTATATTATAGCCAGTCTTATCAACGCTAATAAATAGTTATCAGCCATGATATCTTAAGTCAAGTTTAAATATTTTAAATACTGGCTTAGGTCTTCAGCATTCAAATACAAATTAATTATTTCTTAAATTGAATCGGAAAGGCCTAGCCTTAACATATTCATGGCAATTATCCTACTAATCGACAAGCTTTATAACGATAAACAGTGATCAAGGCACCAAGACGTCTGAGTTCTTCTTCAATTTTATGTCTACTGATGATACGGAATTGATTTAGAGAACACTTACGTTGATATCATTAGCAAAATGATGAAATCAAAGGTCATTGCAGCTTTGTTCTTGACATTTTCAACCACTTGAGCTACGGTCAAGCGTGACCTCAAGGAAGAAACAACAAGATTCCATCCACTAGTTTTCCTGAAATTGTCGACATAATTTCATTTTTTGCAATTCTTACCCTGTTATATAAAGATTTTAATCCGAGATTGAAAATGAGAACCAGTTCAGTTCGTATTTACTTATTTGAAACTTAGTTTTACTATTCCAGTGGTTTTTTAATAAGAACTTGTTAATATTTTTTAAAGCATCTGTAAATTTCAGTCGTACTTTTTGACCTAATTGAGTGTGATTAATTTTTTCATTCTTGCGTACTTACTTGTAATTAGCCAAACAGTCCTCTTCAATAATGTCATCACTTTCTTTTAGCTCATTCCCATGATAATGTATCGTACAGGGCAGGACACTTATTTTCGAATTCAACTTATTACCTATTCCATTCTCCTTAAGGATATCTAAGATTTCATCACATTTGTCCCCACATTCAATTGGAAATACTATCTGGTAGTGATTGTTGTCGTCAGTTTTTCGCCAAGTTGTGTCTACTACTTCCAGTTCATTTATTGTTGATCTGACAATCTACCACAAATACATACAGTTGTTGTAAAAAGAGTATAGTTAGTATATTTACCATTTCCATAGATTGATGCTCTATTTTAACTGGAAGCTCCTGGCTTCCAGCAAGACCATCACTTCCAAGTTCCACATTTTCACATTTAGTTTCTACCGATGGATTAATTTCGACGGCTTTATCTGTAATTACGACTTTTTTCTTCATTTTCTTCAAAAGACATTTTTCGTGAATTTCCGTTGGAATTGAGATAATGAGCACTACACCCGACATGCTGTTCCTTTGGAGTTAGCATTAGTACTGAATAGGAATGTATTTGAGAAAAAAAGTAACAAACAAGCTGATAAGGAATGGCCTTAATCAACTACATATATCATTCCAGTGTCAATATCAACAAACTGTTGAATACATATTTATTAGATCTTAATAAGGATACTTATAAAGTAATTAGTAGTTCCCTTTTAAGTAGAAGATAATGTGTATACATCATACTGAACGAAAATATAAGGGAATACCGAAATAGGCAAACATTTCTCACTCTGTAATTAACTGACTATTTGTCTTGCAGTTAACATTTTAAAATCTCTCTTTCCAACAAACACTGAAATTCGACTAATAATCAATTTTACGAATAAATTTCTATAATCAAGATCAAGTAGCCTAGGAGAATTGCGGCGAAATCTTTCAAATATGGCTGTAACATGACGTATTAATTAGTATATCAACCACCAACTCTATCTTGTAGAAACTTTCATAACGAACAAATTTAGTATACATTTTTTCTCTAAAATGCATACTTACCGAGATTTTCACATTTTTGGCCACTTTTTCGTTGCTAATGCAAATGCCATACCTTTTCAAGCTGGCACACCTCGATATTTGCAACAGGTATACCTTTGCCGAGCGATTCCAGTAGTTATCCAAGTTCCACTTCTACGTAGTCCCTCCTGGCCTATTGATAAAAACTAGAGGTGGGTAAACGGTTATTTGTCTGTAACTTATGGAACTGCATTTTGAAACCTATTACCAAGGTAAACTGGAACATTGTAACGCCATAATATCCTTGTCTATGTGTTCCCAGATCAAACCTTAATCCTTAAAACTTCCGAAAAACTTTATTTGGAACGTAGTTTTGACTATTCCCCTACCTGTTCGCCCATTTTCGTTTATTTTTTGCCATGGGTTGCTGACCCTCAAAAATCATGCTGCGAGCCACTATTTGGGAAACACTAATCTATGCAACGCACAACTACATACAACATATTTTCCGTTGACAAATTGTTACTGAAACTGCTGCAACTGGATAGAGCGCTCGACGATGCCGCATCGGTTCTGTGCTGCCGCTAACCACTTTTTCCGGTTTATGAGACGGTTCCAAAAACAACGTTTAAATCGGTAAACGACTGCAGCTGGATCTTTGAATTTAAAACTAACTTTTATATTCAAAGAGCTGGATAGACACTCGACGGTGTCGCATCGGTTCTGTGCTGGTGGGAAGTGCGCACCACTGTTTAGGTTCTATGAGACGGTTGCAAAAACAACCGGTTATAAATCGCCTAGCTGTAACTACGGTTTCAGGTTCCACGTTTGGAACACTGTTATTTTAGCGGTTACGTTAAATACCGACCATCCCTAATAAAAAAGTTGATGCTTAAGAACACGGAAGGTGGCAAGACACATCGGGTTAAATTAAACAAAATAATAAGAAATAAGAGTTATTTTATTGCTTTAATATAGGTAGTAACTAAAAATATATACATGCACAAATATAAATTAAATAAAAAAGTATTTGAAAAAATAAAAATTTCTATGATGGGAAATCTTAACTATTAATATCAACTAATTTTTCTAACTACTTGATATCAGTAGTTTGTTTTTAAATACCTTCAGTATATTTATAGTCATTTAGAAACTACCTAGTAGTGACCGTCGAATAAATTTTGCAAATAATCATTAGGAACGGGTAATGTTAGTACCAAATCGATAAAAAAATAAATATAAGATCGGTTATAAATAGTTCAGAACAAATTATAAATGCTAATCAAATAAAGGCACTGATAGTGCCGAATAAGATGAATTCTATCCGTAAACGAAAAACGACCTATAAACAATAAATAACAAGAAAATATCTAGAAACTACGCCATTATATATGTATTTAGTACGAATAAATCTATCATAAGACAATACAGCAGTATTCGTATGGAAAAAGTTCCTTGGGGCAAAGACTCTCTGACAGATCGGTCTACACCAACTCACAAACAACCTTAAGAAAAATATCTTATCTTTCTATTGCGCCTATGTGAAATAAGTTTATAGGTAGTAGTTTAATTGACATGTTTCTAACTTTATATAACAATAGAAACCCTAAGATAATAAACTTATAATTTATCAAATTTATTATTAGGTACTCGATACTGAATAATATACATTATAGGCTGTAAAAAGTAGCTAGACCGGGATATTGTATAAACTTTGAAACCCTTTTTCAATCTAAAGCAAGCGCGGGGAATTATCAATTACGCTGATACTAAGTTTAAAGCGAAAAATTAATACCAATAAAACATGGAACACCTCCAAGTTTTAACGAAACATTCCCATAGGGCTAAATATGCTTTGCCATCAGACAAACGTAACCAAACCATCTTTCTAATAATTTCAAAATTATGTAGCTAATCTAGCTACTTTTCAAATATTTAAATAAATATCAGTCAAATGTCCTATTTATACGTTTAAGCTAACAATGAAAAAAAAAATGGATTTAATAAAGTCTGCAACGTGCATTTAGGCATAAAATTGAGTATAAAATATTGCACATACACATCAATGCAACACGAACACGATTTTTTGACAGTGCCCAGACATTATCTCAGATGAAATGAAATTAAAATTCTTATATCAAATGTATTTAATGAATTGCATGAATTAGCGACTCCATTATGCCTATCTGCTGTTTTAGTTTCACAGGGATAAAGAATAATTATTTGGAAAATGTATTAAAAACTATAAAGTATAATAAACAAATACACAACTCCGAGATCATTGAATTTCCAATTTGGTACATATCTTTCGGATACCTAACACCGGAAAATAAGTAACTATATTTACATTGAAACACTTAATATCCATTTACACCGATAACAATAAAAAACGATTATCACCTAAATGAAATAAATGTTTTTATTGTTCAAAAATATATTTGTTTTCCAACAAGATGTGACGCAAGTGAAATTGAGAATTCGGAATAAAATAGAATGTTATTCGAGATTCAAGTAATACTGAATTTATGTATTTTTTGAAGGAAAAAATGCCAATTGCTGATTAGAGTGCTTTCAAGACGAACGGATATTTTTCGAAGTATTCCAACAAAATTAATCGGGGGTTCTTCCGACAACATTTTTTAAACATATTTTCAAAAATTTTATATGAAACGTTGCAATTCGCGGTGTAAAAATGTTTAGATGATAGTTCTCCGAGGTCGTAGCAGAATGAACAATAATAATTTTTGATGGAATTTTCGTAGAAATGTTCATGCGTCTCAAGGACCTCAATTATAATATTTAAACACAATTTCCGCACAAAATCCCAAACAGAACAATTTACTTCAAATGCTGTACCATATAAACAATATTTGATGTACATTTTCGTGCAGCTCTGTCCGGAAAATGGCTTAATACCAAAAAAATTGATCGTGGTAAACAGTGAAGCCAATAAAACCGACTCAGTTTTTTTGAGACAAAATATGTTACCATTCTAGCATAACAGCATTAATTGCTCCTACGTTAAGTTTTACTTAGTTTCATATAAAAAATATATTATACAAAAACAACAACAGCTACTTTAGAGAAAGTCAACACTCTGACATAGTATCGGAACTAGAATCTTCATCATCTGAAGAAGACGATTTCTCATCCGGATCATAATACACTTCAGCACCTGGAAATATGTATCGGCTTGGTGCAACCAAATGATATGAGTTGGGCGGCAATCTTTCTGCCAAGCTTCGTTTAGCTTTTGGTTGCCAGTAACTGCGCATATCGTTACTCTTTTCATTCAAACACGTTTCGGATCCCTTAACGTTACAAGAACTACTCTCTGAAGATAAGTCGGTAGCAAAATTGCTACTTCCTTCTTTGCCGCTCTCAGTTTCCAAGTCTGTAAAATTGGAGTTTTCTCCTATACCGGAATCGAGTGCCGAGTCTATACTGATGTGACGCTCTTTAGTTGATTTACCTGGAAATTATTAGAAAAATTATAATAACACGCCAGTGTTTAAAACTTTTGTTTTGAAGCGGGCTTTGGTGCTGGCTCCGAAAGTTGGCATTGAATCGGGAAATTACTATTCAATTTTCCACCGACCTTTGCTTCAACCAGCACGCAATATTAAACCGAGCAATAAGATCAAAAGTCATTTGTACCACTTGTTGTAAGCCGAACATTTTTATCGAACCACGGCGCCAGCCGTAAAACATAAAATTATATCATGTTTGACGGCCGCTCAGGGTAAATAAAGCTGTGGAATTCAGATCGTTTAATGTTTCAGAGCTAAAGCCAACCCCAAACTGAACTTCAAGCTCCAGTTTATAAATCCGCCTTTAAGCTAGTTTACATTGTTTGCAAGCAGGTTTTCGTATCAAAATTTCACAAATTTGAAAGAACGGAATAGAGAAAGATACAGAATATTTTTTGAAGTACCAGTTCATAAAAAAAATAATCACAATATATTAAAATTATTTTCATAATTGTACTAGTGCATGTTCTTATGTACGAGAATCCCAAATTTATGTAAATGTTTTTCAATCGATACTGAAATTTGTGGACCAACCAGCTTAAATAAACCGCTAGTAACACAGTAATGTGGATGATCCAAGATGGTTACGAGTAAAGAAAGCGATACTTTCGCATACACTGCGTCCAAGATAACTCGATAAGAACTGCGTCGGCAACCGAAATTATACGTTGGTTAAATGGGAGATAGTTGTTTTGGATACCAATTTTCGTTTCTGATTTATTTGGAAAAAACATACATTCGAAATTTATTTTTTTGGCGTTAATCAAAGCTGGAGCAAAACCAACTCCTCGCCGACTTGAAGTCAACAAGTCTTATCAGTTTTTTCCCTCGACTTTTCATTTTCAACAAACCATCAACTTAATTTTTTTAAATGCGATTCTGTTTATTGGTTGACAAATTGGGAAAGCCCTTTTCTGTTACCTTTTAGCCTGCTACATTTTTATCTCTGAACGCAAAACAAAATTCACAATTTTCATAATAATTTGTAACATTGTTGAATTTAGAATAAAATGGGGTTTTCGACTTTACTGTTAAACAGACAGTGCCGCATTTGAAAAAACGAAGTTGATGTTTTTTTGGAGACGAAACATCCAAGCATAAAACTGATAACGTATTATAATCGATTCGGAAATTTAGGGTTTTTTTTTAAATAAATCTGTAACCGAAATTTCAGTATCAAGTTATTAAACGCCATGTTGTTAGCCTTCTAATTACCCATATTTATTCCTATGAGCCTGAGCCGCGGCAAAATTCCTTTGATGTTTCGTCAAAATACCGAAGGACGATCCATTTTCTGTTGGTGTTGACGGAACATTAAAGGAATTTGAAGCAGATCAGGCTCGGCTAGTTAGGTCTGGACGCGGCGTAAGAAATTAACCGATATTTTGAATCACTTTACCTACTTAATAAGACAAAAACCTGTTAGGAGGTGAATACGCGAAACTATACACTGAATGAGAGAACAAAAAATGAGGAGTTAAGATGACGACGAATAACAAATTAAGAATTCCCACAGCACTTACCATCAGTTTGGCATGAGCAAATTGTCTCTTGTCCAGAGGAGCCGGGGTTATTATTTGAGTTGGTATAATTCATCCTAGTGCTTTCGCAAGTACATCTATGTACTTCTTCGGTTACTGAGACGACTGGTTTGCCAGTACATTCAAATTTGGAGATTGTCTCGGCATTTTCTTGCCATTTACTGAAATCTATTGGCGCAGGCTGTTTGCAAGGCAAAAGCTCTGGCACCTCAACTAATTCTTGCGCATTGCAAATGCCTTCCTCCCAATTTTGTCCCAACCTGAAACAAATTTCTAGATGTAGCCATATCGGTGATTAAGAAACAGGAGTTGGTGAAAGTTTGAGCTCCATCCGACGCATTATTTTATCGCAGTTACATCAGCAAGTCATTTAAACCATGACACACTTACATTTTGCAAAGGTGATTGATAATAACATCGCAATCGCCCAATAACTCCACATCAAAATGGCAATGTGACAGAGGTTCTCTGTTGATGAGAATTTGAGGTACATGGGCTGGGAGGGAATTGGGAATGAGGGCGACGGGTCGCACTTTCAATGAACTGCCAATAACGACAAGCAGATCGCCTTCAGTTTTGTCTGAAGCCATCGCATCGTGAAAGGTGTCTGGTAAGCCTTCCCCAAAGAACACGATATCAGGTTTCATTATGCCCGACTGAACCAGATCCTGCAAATAAAAACTGAATTTGCAAACATTCACAGTGACACATCTGAAACACACTTACCTTATAATTTGTGGCATCACTCCCAAAATCATCAGTAGATACTGAAACATCTGTATCGCCGTGACACTTTTCGCACATTGGTATCTTCTGAGACAACACAATATTTCTGATTTTATCGGCTCCAACTTTGTGCTCGCATTTTGTGCAGGTTGCCGTGGCAAAAGATCCGTGGCACTCAATCACTCTTTCGATACTTGCTTCCTTCTCTAACGTATCGATGTTCTGAGTATAGTTCCGTAAGAGCTTGTTATGTTTTTCCAGAAGTTTGATGAAACGATGACACGGGCTTGGCTTAAATTTTCCTGGATATATGTCTTTAGCGAATTTGAAAAACGGTCTCGGGTCCTGGCTGAAATAATTAATGTCGAACATGGCCTGGGGGTTGGGCAAGTTGGGAAATTCTATAGCGAGGCGCGAGTAGATTCCATCACGGGATCGAAAATCGGGAATTCCGCAGGAAACCGAAACACCAGCACCAGTAAGCACTATAATCCTTTGAGCACCTATACGTGGAAACAAATAATAGCAAATTATAGTAAAGTATTTCATTGGCAATGTGCATCGTTTCACCTACCTTTAAGTAATCGCACGACGTCATCTAATGTATTTACATGCCGCAGTTTGCTTCTTCTTGGTGGATCCGCAAGCATATTTATGATTATATTCCAAAGAGTAAAGTCACCAACGCATTGAGGAATTTGCTCCAAGTCGACGCCTATAATAATCGTTGTATTTTAGCGATGTAAAATGCAATTTATAAAATTTATAAGAAATCAGATTTCAATATCTGTCTAAAGTGGTAAACGTACCTAATTCAGTTAATATGGTCTTGGGACTGGTGCCTTTCTGAATTTGTTTTTGTATCCATGCAAAGCTTCCTGCCATTGGTTTCCATTGCTGTCCGCTGGTATTTGAAAGTCCGCTCAATTCACTTCCAACTGAGGCATCGTCGTCCTCCTCCTCTTCCTGTAAAAAAAAATTATAGTAGATGTTTTCAATAACTATTCACAAGACGAGTTTGGTCGCGTTTTCGGTGCTTCATCTATTTCTGACTTTCCAGGGCTGTCGCCAAGGTTGGAAAAAATTGTTCCAAGTCTAGCGAAAAGTAGGTGAAAATTTAGGGTAGTTTCTTTTCAAACATTACCGGAGTCCGAAAAGTTTCTATTGGGCTACAAATTGGTCAAATGTGGCAGCGCCACAGCGCATTTAGAACATGTAAAGAGTCCCTATTTTCCGCAGGCAGACTCTAAATCGGTGGAATATTCTACACAATAGACGCGCAGAATCACTATGTTGCTTTCTACAACCAAATTACCACCGTCACCAAATCACTAACGTTATACTGATGAGCACAGTCTTGCTTGCTCATAAGCGACGATTAAAGTAAGCCACAAATACCGTTTTGAGTTTAACAGAAACAAGTATTAATCCCAAGCATGAAAAACCAGTCATAGATTTTCCTCGATCAAAAAACTTTTGAAGGAACTGCGTCTATTCTTTAATGTTTAACTTTAAGCTATGGTATAAGCTTCAAACATTTTGTTCGAGAAGAAAATGTTGTGAAGAGATAGATATGTGTAATAAAACGCATAATGAAAGCACGCATTGAAATGCAACTATTTATTTAATTGTATTAGGAACTCAATTGAAAAACTAAATTTTAAAATACTGAATGCTATTCTCAACAACTTTCTTCTCTCAAAGTGTTCCTGGATTTACTCAAAGTGCAACAGGTATTTACAATTTAGTTTTTTGTGAATTCCTTTGCTCTTCATAAGTATTGTTTTTGTTAATTATATTATTTGGCCTCCCTAAAGATAGGCCTGGCACTGTGTTGAGTTGCACTTTTGAGTTGGTGAGTTATAACACATCGAATTGCGCTTGTGGCGGAATAACTCTTGACATCAGAACTTTTAAAGTATATTTTTTATTAGTTGAAATTTCGTTGGTTTCTATCATATCGCTCGGAAAATGAGCAACAGTTTCATTTTTAAGTGATTTTCTAGCGGTTTTTTGTTCAGTCTATATTTTTCGAAAAACAAAGTTAATTTGGTTATTTATTTTAGTTTTGGCGTTGTGCATTAATCAATGCAGCTGAGTGAAATTCCAGACAAAAATAAATGGCTCTAAATTTAAAATTAAATTAGTGAAAGATCGACATCTGAAGCATTTTTCGTTTAGTTGTTGACTTTCATTAAGCTGAAACGTGAAATTTGCCTTTGGAAATATTGCAATGCGAACGGGCACTTTCTACAAAAATGTCAATAATAAACAAACTGAAATCGAACTGCAAGTAAAGCATGAATCATCGGCGGCATCAAGGGCGAACAATTCAATGATTAAATAATCATGTTTATTCTGTAGTTCGGTGTTTTTTTTCCATGCCCAGTTTGCTACCGATAGTAGACGAAATCAGTCAATAATCGGCATTCTTAGATGGGAAATACAGAATCATTGTGTCCCTTATGTGTAGTGAAGTGTAGTGAACTTCTTGAGGGTTCGCCAGCTTGCAAAAAGCTGATAAGAATGATCTCTAATCTATCAATCTTTTAGGGCTTGAACTGAGTTTAGTTTTCCGACAAGCAACTGAAGTTTTATGGATTTTTTATATTCTCTTGCTTTGCTTTGCTGATTTCAAATAAGCTTGGATTTGACCAGATTTCCTGCTGTATTAATCACATTTTCTTTTTTCTTTCCAGGCGGTACTACGCAGCTTTCGGTAAGTTTATCATTACTTTGCCCCTGGTTGCCATGTACATGCAAAACTTTTAGTCCCATATTCATCAACTGATTCGTTGCGTAGATTTGGTATCGATTGAGCTATTGGTTCTTTCGTAGTTAATTTTTAAACTTGGAATATTTTGGGCAGCTTTGTATTTTTATATTAAGCTCATCTGAAGCTTTTCTCTAAAGAACCGCTTGAGATAGGACAATTTGGCTTCCAGGATTCAATACAATTAGTATCAGCTTACTGATACTAATTGGGAATAACAACTTTGGGAATATTTTGGGTGGCTTTGTATTTTTACATCAAGCTCATCTGTAGCTTGTTTTCAAAGAACCGTATCAGATCTGCAAATATGGGTTCCAGTCTTATATTTTTGGTTAAAAAAAAGTAGAGTTAGTTTCGCCTGTTTTTTTTTCAATTTCAATCGACCGAATCCTGACGCCATCTTTTTTGACATTGCTCAAGAACGATTCCAGCCACAGAGTTCGTTTTTATGATTGAATAGAGAATTGGTAACTCGATTTAGTTATAACAATGTACGAATGTTGCACGAAACTGGCAATGTTTGATTGAAGAGCCTGCAGTTGCGTAAAGGTGTCCATTATTCATTCAACATTTACCAAACGCGCAAAATTCAGGATTTCATGTGATTTGAATGAACGTTTGAAGGAATTTTTAAAACATCAGTTCAGTAAAGAAAAGCGCACTCTTCTTTACTGAACGCACAACTCTGAACTTGTAGAGTATTTTTTGTTCCTGAGAAATTTATTTTCGAAAAACGTTATAATAATAAAAGCCATGATTATGTTTTTCTAAGGAGATCGTCGTTCCACCTTACATCACTTGAAAGAAGTGCAACAACTTTCTTCTCTTAAAGTATTCGCTTGATTTAATCACAAAACTCATAATCACAGAATTAGACAAAAATTAATACAAAGAATGATTCATTAAAACTAAAAAAATGAAATTTAATAAGAAATAAGTGAATTACCTGTGCCATGTCCAAATGGGAGTTGTCGGTATTATTTGAGAGTATCGGAGGATAGGGCTGATATAAATTGGGCATATTGTCGGTCATTTCTCCGGAGTTGGTGAAAGGCGAAGTGTTCAAAGAGTTTGGTGATGTTGGCAAAGACTGCAGAGTAGAGGGTTCGTAGCCTGAATCGCAATCCGTTGTTCCTAAAAAAAAAACATTGTTGTACTGTAAATACTTCTCTATTTTAAACTGTCTTTTTGTAAATTAACAAAAGGTAAATAATACAGGGTGTTTGGTAAGTAGATGCATTTCAAATGATAGTGCAAGTAATTCCGAATATATTACCTTAATAAACCATATTCCGAAAACTCTTAGTTTCCGATCTACAGGATATTAAAGTTTTAATTGAAAAAGTTTTATGTATTAATATTGCGGAAACCGCTTGGTATATTTTAATGAAATTTTACAGGCACTTAAAAACAATACATGTTTTTGATAAAAAAAATTGTTTTTACTTTCGCCAGTGGCGTGTTCACAGGCACGTCTGTAGATAATTTTAAATAAAACAATGTTACGCCACTGATTTTTCTAAAATTAAATATTATTTTTCAAGTTCTTGTTCAATTTGGAAGAGAAAAGGTATCTTCACTTTTTTCCACAACGCACCGTTCCTGAGTAAAAAAATAAAATTGATTTACTGCATGGATTAATCGGGTTGTAATTAAATAATAAATAGGGTTTAGTATAAAAACAGCAAAAATTGTGCACTTACAAAATCAAATGTATTACAAAAATTTATTACTGGCCGCAGCTGACATCAGACTGAGAGTTTCCTTATTTGGTTTTACATATTAGATTAGTTTGTGAATTAAACTAAATAATTTTAAACTAAAAAAAAATAACTTAAACTACATTTAAAGTAAATGTAAACCTGTGAATTAAAATTTAACTAATTCTTAGTATTGAATGAGTACCAAGCTTGCCACGATACGGGAAAAAATTATGTCATTTATTAATTCTAGACAGTAACGACCGTAAGATCTTGCTCAAAACGAAGTCCCCCTTCTTTCTTTCTGTCCGGGTTACCCTGGCGGAAAATGTCTGTGTAATAATGTGATCTTACTCAAAATTACCTAAAACGCAAAAAGAAGGTGACAACTAAAGTTATTAGTTATGAGAAAAATTATTAATTTTGTCAATCAGTGTCAAAAACTAGTGCAGAGCCAACTTTTTAATAAAAACCCGATTACGATGTGTAGTAAATCGATTTTAATTTGTTTACTCGCAAACGGGACGTCGTAGAAAAAAGTCGAGACCTTTTCTCTTCCACATTGAACACGAATTTGAATCAAGATGTTTGTTGTTTAAAAAATCAGTGGCGTAACATTTTTCCATTTAAAATTAGCTACACATGTGCCTGTACACACACCAATAAGCTAGAAACAAAATTTTTATCACAAAACATGTATTGTTGTTAGTTGCCTAAGCCTGGAAAATTTCATTATAATATTCCTAGTGGTTTTCGAAATATTAATAAATAACATTTTTTTATTAAAGCTTTAACACCCTGTCCATCGGAAACTAAGGGTTTTCGGAACATGGTCTATTAACGAAATATATCCAAAACACCTTCACTATCAGGCCCTGCAAGGAATGCATCTACTTACCAAACAGCCTGTACCTATGTATAACCATCCACAAAGTTTTATTAAAACTTTTACACCTTTCTAAGTTTGAGCGTCGCTCTCAAGAAGCCAAACTTTCTACGTTCTAAATATTATTGTCTGTTAATTTGTATTAATAATACATAAACCAAACACGTATTATTATTTCAAGTGTCAAGCCCTTTCACACTGAAATCAATTTGTCAAAATTGTTGTAATAATAGCAGGTAAATTAATTGTTATCAGTATCCAGCTTTTCCGTGGTTTTCCTCTCCTTCTTCCCTGCGGTATCCAGTGCAGTACTTTATTTACTTTACTTTACCTTACAAAATATAACAATTTTTTTTAATTTTTAAATAAAATAAATTATAATTTGAAAACGGTTGATTTCACAGCTTAAAGTGTAAATGCAAATTTGTAACTTTGTAAATTGTCTACCTACTATATGTCGCGTACAGGTACTTCCATTTGAAAAACAAAAGTTATATTGCGTTAAAAAGTTTTAGATTAAAGTAGACATTGTTAACACCCTGTACAATGTATTGATATTTTGGTTCAATAGAATTCTTAACGGATCTGTGGTGATTGGAAAGACGTATTTGGAATATTTAACTGCTTTTTTTGCTTCTACAATGATTTCTTAGATACCATGTTTTTAAGAAAATTTCACTAAAATGGCGATAATCTGCCAACGTCGCAAATAAGAAAAACACATTTTACGGTGCATATGCAGCCTTTCAAGCTGCATGCTATGAGCTAATGAAAAATAGGTATTTTTATTTAAAAAAAATACACTTTCATCTTGCCTCGCTTTTCTGAGACACTCTGTATCATATAAAATATTTTTAAAATGTGCGCACTTTGTGCGTCAACAACTTTTATATGAAACTATTTTTCGAAAGTTCAACACCAACGGAAATAATGGACTCTCTCGCACTAAAAAACCACCCTGCATATGAAAGCTTCCATTGTTTTGGTACTTCTAACTTTATTATACATCTTTGAATAGACTTGTGGGCATCTGGGTTCGTTTTTCTTAACGTTAACTGATTTTTATAACATCTGATACTTAGTGGAGATCCTTGAATGGTATTATTTGTGTTACTGTTATCAGTAATTTGGAACTCATTTCTATCTGCCAGCGTTTTCTCGAAATTCTGATTCCAGGATTGCTCTGTTATTGGGGAGATTATGTATTTTCCGTTCCGGTTTTGTTCTTTAGTATCCTCCAACTTTCTGTGCTTTTTATTCCTCCTAGGTATATGTTGAGTCTAGAGCATGGTTTCTCCCATTTTTCGTTCTTTTTTTAATATATAATTTTTCGTACCAGTGCTTGTACCTGTTTATATGCAAGTTTATCATTTAGGTTTTTGGAGCTTAACATGATGCATAAATTTCGTTCGTTCTCTATTTCAGATTCCCTCATCCCACCAGTATGGTTTTTGACTTTATCCTTCCCTTTCTTGGCAATCTAGTGCCTCTGTCGCTGCTGCAATTATGCACGATTTTATGTATTGTATGCAGTTTATTGTTCAGTTTGCCTTTGTACAGTTCTTTCGTACTTTCCTCCATAAGCCCGAGATAAGGTATTTTAATCATATCATCAAGATGGATTTTGTTTCTCTTAACTGTTACAATTCAAAGAACTACTATAAAAGATTATTTGACAAAAAATGTCATCAATCCTGTTAGGAGAAAGAGATACAAAAAGAGAAATACACATACAGTGTGATTCAAAATTAACGTCATCCCTCTGAGGGTGCTTTGGCAGTACAGGAAAAATAGTTTTAAAAAATTCCTATAAAAACCTGAGATATTTGCGAAAAAAAATTTAGATGGTCGGCAACAATGTTTCTCAAGGTAATCTGCCCCTTGAACATTACTTGTCGCTTCTTAATTATTAACTGAGTAGCCATGGGCAAACACAAAACTACACAATTTTATTGCACGCGATATTTTGTTCTAAGCCTGCGAATTTTATCGGTTCCACAACTTTTAATGCACTCGCCGGCTATAGTTTTCCTTGCAGCTAACCGCAATTTTAGTGACTTCTGGTTATTTTTATGCTGCCAACTGTTCCCTCTGTAATATAAATCACCAGCTCTGACATATACAGATTGATTCAAAATTGACGTCATTCCTTTTAAGGGGTAATAGGGGCTCACTTGGAGAATATGGGAAAAATATTCAAAAAATTCTAGAAGATATTAACAGTTGAAAATCGAATTTGAACTTTGTTATTAAGTATTATTTTGAAAAATGGTCCTAGGTTTGATAGGTAGCTTATTGAACTTGAATATTACTTAAGCATTTAAAAATTAAAATTACGATGTTTACTTCGAATAACGAAAATTTTTCAAATTCAAAAAGAACTCTTTTTTTGGTGAAAAGTCAAAGCGGCAATGATGTTTTTTGTCATTAACAGATGGTTACAGGTGGATAGCCTTCAATTCAATATTTTTTTGTACTCTCCAAGTGAGCCCCTATCACCTAAAAGGAATGGCGCCAATTTTGAACAAAGATAAAAAAGAGACAAAAAAATTCGCATATTTTTGTTGGAGTCTGCGAATGTAATTTTGTCTCACATCAAAGTAATAGAAAATATGAATTTAACGACAATAATTTGTAACAAAACTTTTTAGGAAAACGTCGATATTTATTAACCAAATGCAATTTACATTGAAATTGTACTAAACGCTAAGTTGCGAATTTACAGAATGACAATTAAACAACAATATGCAAGTATCAATAAACATATTAATTTCAATAAAACCATTCACAATATTAATACAGAAAGATATAACAATCAAATTTCGCTATCTTACATGTGAACTGTTCGCATTCACACATAAGAAGATTCGTTTTAACTTACGGCCTTAATTTATGTAATTTTGATGTTTGCGTTTTTATTTAGTGCTTGAATAATTCCGAATTCGTCGACTTCCTGCTCATCATGTATACTTTTAAAGGTATCAAACCTTCGGGTACAACTTAATCGAGCTCTTCGAGTGGCAGAGATGTCTCTTGTTTTTCGTATCCCTTTCTCTCATAAAGTCTGGTGAATTTACGTGAAAAAAAAACGTAGAACTTTCTGAGGAAGATCCAGACAAATTAACTCGCAACTGAAATAAATCAAATGTTTAGTATGAAAGAAACGCCCGTTGAAGACCTGCGACCACAACGTACGCAGATGTGATTAGCTTAATTTGAGTTTGCTATAAAGCAACCATAAACTAATTTAAAATTTCGAACACAAAGTTGTTTACAAAAGTTTTAAACGATTTCACACAAATATGAAATTAACGTCTATTGGTATAATCCTTGCCAACATCTACTTAGTATTGGTCCGGTTTCTCGCCAGCATAAAACAACTGCAAGTTGGAACATTTTTAATGCACGGTCTACATAAATCTCGCTGTATAGGTGATTGAAATTTGACTGATTTAAGCGATACGAGAAAATACAAAAATATGTTTATGGTTATTTCTCAAAGTTCGGTGAAAGAATCCAGTAACAACTAGAAGAATAGTAGCAGAAATGCCGACTTAATAAATAAAAATAGGGAAAACAAAAACTGGTCACAATTAAGGAAATTTTCTACTTTAAATGAAATTAAAGGATAAATTTTTAAAAAAAGTTAGTCACAATAGCAACTTTCATCGTTCCAATTGTGCGTTGTGTTCGACTTTTAGGACACCCGCAGACGGACGTCTTTTGTCTCAATAGCACAAGTCAACACAGTGTTACCCTGTGATCAAAAAAACTTGATCCCGTTGACTTTCGTTAAGTGGGAACGTGAAATTTGCCTTTGGAAATATTACCGTGCGAACAGGCACTTTCTACAAAAATGTCAACAATAAACAAACTGAAATCGAACTGCCAAGCAATAGCAGAGCAATGAGTCGGGGGTAGGGCGAGCAATTAAATTATCATATTTATACAGTAGTTCGGTGTCTTTTTTCTCGAAAAAGTGTATGAATGTTCAGTCTGCTTCGGACAGTAGTCAATAATTGCGTTCTTAGATGGAAAATATGGAATAATTCTGGTAGTTCGTGAACGTCCTGAGGGTTAATGAGTAGAAAATGGAGAATGGGGGCGCCAGCTTACAGAAAGCTGGTAAGAATTACCTCTTACTCTATAATTCTTTCAGCTTGAACTGAGTTCAGTTTTCCGACAAACAACTGAAGTTTTATGGATTATTTATATTTCTCTCATTTGATTTAGTGGTTTTGAATTTCAATAATTTTAAATAAGTTTGGTTTTGGACAGATTTTCTGCTGTACTAAACACATTTCCTTTTCAGGTGGCACTATGCAGCTTTCGGTAAACTTAGCATTCCTTTGCCCCAAAATTTCATTAAAAAAAAAGCGTCTACAGAATGTCAATTTTTCAAGTTTCTACTGGCTTTACTTCGGAAGTTGGAATTTTTTAATGAAGGGTATGCAGTTGCCTGAAATCGTTCATTTACAAATGAACATTTATGAAGCGCGCAAAATTCAGGATTTCATGCGATTTGAATGAATCAACTTTTGAGGGTTTATAATTTAATTTTCGAAAAAGTCGACGGATGTACATAAGTAACAATAAAATTATTGTTACTTATGTATTTTGTCTGTCCTGTCTGTAGTTGTGTTTCGCCGATAAACCAACTTCTTGGTGCCTTGCGTCACAGAATGCATGTAAATTTCTGCTGTAGATTTTATGGGTTCAGCACAACTAGATCACATCTAATTGTGCATCAGGTTAGTTTCGCAACAGAGCTGGTATTCTAGCGTTCTGGGTTTTGCGAGAGGTTCCAGCCGAGCTGTTTACCCAGTAAAGTCCTTCCTCACCGCCGAGGTACTCCTCCGCTTGCCCTGTTTATTCAGTGAATTTTATAAGGATCTGAAAGGGCGTACGCAGGACTTAATTTTCTACTTGTTTAAGTAACTTTTCAAATAGAAAAACTAATAAAAACGTGTCTGCCATAGCCATACACGAACGCACAAACCGTGAATAAACAAAGCAAGCAAAGCAAACTTTAAAATTTTAACGGTAGTTCGGGCAGAAAGTTTGGGTTTGACAATGGGTTATTGGGGTGAACCCAAATGGTTCCTTGATAGACGTTACTGCGGTAAGACACTCGTAATATTTCTCTCTTTTGCAACCATGCCAGTGTTTCCAGTTTCTTGAAGTGAGTTTTACTAAAAACGCAGTTATGGAAGCGCTGGTGAAACCTACGTGTCGCTAAACGAGTTTAATTTCAGCGTTTACCATAAACTGAGTTTCGTTAAACGGAAGCGTCTTGGTGAAAATCGTCCTTAGCATTTAACTCGTACGAGTAGGATTAAAGCTTTACGAGGCCCGGGGTTGGAAATTCAATACCTGACAAAAAAAAGACCACAATTTTACGAGCACCATTTTATCAAATGGTTGACCGAAACGCAACTGCACCGGTGAGTTACTGTGCCGGTGCTTTGGGTTGGCGCAACAAGCCATTTCGGCAATACTGTGCCAAATCCTGAAAAATAACTCAGTTACCCATGCCTTGTCGGCAGGCATAGTAAATTCGACAAAATGGCGAATGAGCAAAAAAATCGCCCTCACATCGGAAAAACAAGCGTTAATCCTGACTTGTGGTTAAACAGTTCACAAATTTCCAAAACACCGTTTTTAAACAAATCTCAACACATCACGTGTTTCAAAAGGTTTCGAAAATTCTAGAGTGAACCACGTTTACCAATCCGGCCATGAATTTCGTTTCCAAGAAACGACAGGTTAATAGAAACAACCATGTGGAGTTAGACTCGCTTTATTCTTCTAAATCGAAAAGTGATATACACGTGAGTAGAACGGCAAAATATTCGTGCCAAAATATCGAAATTCCGTTTTGAAATCGTTAATTTTCTTTGATCAGGATTGAAGTGACCACGCCTACTTAATGTCGAAAAGTCGCTTTGTTTGCAGACGCCATGTTGAATTGAACAATACGTCTAAACAATCAAAACATATTTTAGATATTTTACCTTCTCCACTGTCAATCGACGCTGTTGCTGCATGGGAAAATCGAGGAAAACCGAGATTATCGCACAATCCACCGATATCGGGGTCTTCAAATTCGAGTTTCAATCTCTTTGCGCGCGATTCGTAATCTTGCACGTTTGGGTCGGAATCCATCTTGGACACGAGACACGAATAACTTTTGTGGACAACCTGACTCGAGAAAGACGAAGCCGGAAGACGTCCACATCGACGCGCACAGATGGAATTTGATCGAAACTCAATGCGAAACTGATGGTATCGGACTAACGGTGTTGCCGAATTGCAACCATCGAGGTATAGACTTTCTGTTTTGTTCCTTTCCATGTTTTTTTCTACAGATTATGGAGCTTATATCCGGATGTACCCCTTTTTATTGAATAAAAACTTCACAACAAACTCGAACGCAAAACATATAAAAATTAGTTGCCTAGTAATATGCAGGAGGAGACATACGTGATATTTGGTTTAATGTGGCAACGTGGAAATCCGACGTGCGCTCGGAAAACATCCGTTTCTACACGATCTAAGTCCTAAATTCGGCGGGCAGTTCAAATTAGAGTCTACAGTTTTATAATGAAATATTTAGTATATCAAACCGTCCGTAAAATGGTCAAAACGACTCTAGTTTTCGTTGCCATTCAAATTAGATCGTTTATGGAGTTTTTTCTTGACGGTAATTTTTTTAAATGCTCGTCAATTTCATACAACAGGCGTAATTCCTCTCACCTCTGGAGGAAAATGTTAAAGTTATGCCAGTCATTAAGCTCGCAGGTTTAAGTCCGTCCAAAAGCAGTAAATTTTCCTTATTCCAGAAATTATTTGTCGGCTTAAGTCGCGAAAAATCCCTTACATTGAATTATAAAGGACATTCCGAACTTTTCAGAAAACGATTAAATTAAAATTTTTAAAGGGTACTGCATGCAAACCGCGTTAATATATTGTATTAAAGAATGGAAAAGAACGCAATTTTGCTGCTTCGACAGTTTACATGTCACTAAAAAATGCGGAAGATACCTGGAGCCACAAAATTTAGAATTAAAGCTAATTCTAAATTAAACAAGGTGGAATAATAGTACGAT